TAAGCAAGGCTCCGTTTTTTGTCTCATGTGCCTTGAAAATCATCTACACAGACAAATCTGCTAGTCTCCATAGCCCTACTGTATCCTACCATGAACCTAAAAATGCCCTGCATGTGCAGGAGAGTAGGGGGTCTACTATTCACACTAGCACATCTCTGACCCTTTCTGGAGACTTTCTTAGCCACCACAGCTTAGAACTCTCCCTCTGCAAAAAAGCTCGTCATCACTTATAGAATTCATTAATCGACCAACATCCAGAAACTGCCCCAATGTTGTAACCCAGGCAAACCAGTCCCTGCCCCTTGGGGGGTGGGGGGGCAGCAAAGTGTGCCTCTGCGCATGGCAAGCAGTACCGTCTCTTTCTCTCTTCTCTCTTTCCTTCCCATACTCCCTTACCTTCCCCAGTAGAACTTCCTTTCCATGTAAGTTCTGTCTGATGTTGTGTTTGTCCTCCTGCCATGGGATCAACCCAGGTCCTATCTGGAGCCATATTCCTAACACTTAACATTTTAGGAATATAGCAAGTGAGACCATTTTATCCATAGTATTAGGGAGAACATTAGAATTGTTAGCATATCCTAATTTAGTAATACATCCTCTAAGATACACAACCTCAACAAACTTTTGTGATGTGGGGAAATTTGACTTGAATAAATATGAATGAGCATTTGTTGATAAGTGTTCAGTGGGGTACATCTCGGTTTCTATGACATGATGGTGAACATGTTGAGAGTCTCTGTATGAGAGGGAAATAATAGGTAGTCCTCCCCAAATTGATTTGTCCTTTAGAAGAGCATACATAACAACATCCACCCTACAGCATTCTTCCAACACATCCCGAATTTGCTGAGCTAATCCAATTGCTGCTCAATTCTATCAGCTGGACAGCACTGAAGAGAAAACAGTTTATATGGAGATAACAAAGTACATTTGCTTTATTTTCTAATGTCATCTGCTGGTGGACACCCTTAACATGCTACAAAAGAAAAATACACAAAGTTGTATAATGTTTAAGCTGTCTGCTTTTCCAAAAATGTTGAAATGAAAAACAAATAACAAGCAAATGTATTTTAGAACTGAGCTAGTGCCACGTACCAGGAATTCTTTTGTTTAAGAGCACTCTCAGGAAGGTGGAGATTGGTGCTTCTGGGCTGGGCTTTGACTCTCTGTGACCTAGTACCAACAGTGACAAGCAAGGAGAAATGAAATATGACAATGATTGTCTCACAATAGACTTGTGAAGGGATCAAAGACACCAGGGAGTTACTGCTGATTAAAGTAAACAGCAGCAACAAGAGAAGGACTACACACAGTCACACGAAAGACACACACACACACACAAAAAAAAAAAAGCAGCAAAAGTAAGGGAAACAAATATACACATGGAGTTATGGGAAGGAGTTTTAAAGCGGAAGTACTCCTGCTTTTGCTAAGAGGGAGAAGGCATCTGGAGGAACTACTGAATCTTAAGAATGGCAACTGTTCCTTCACTAAGTCTTGATTACAGTCAGGAAGGCAGGCTTGGGCCTTCATTTTTATCAACTAGAACATTAAGTGGTACACTTGAAGTTTTGAATAGGTTTCTGATTTGCTGATAAGTTTCCCCACTGTTAATCATTTTAATGCTAAAACAAAGCACAAATGGAAAGTTAAGATAAAGCTTGAGGGTGAGCCGGGATCCCATTTGGCCTAGCAACATAAGAAATAGTGAAAGTGCTGACTGATCTCACACATTCAGATCTAGGTGCTGGATTATATAAACATTATTTCTTCCTCATGAGCTGTCCTGCCTCAAGCAGGCTCCTGGTGCCTTTCTGATGCAAAGTAGTTAAAATGCAGACCACAATCTAGGTCATAGCAAATCATAGTAAGATCTCTCTGCACAGGACCATCCATAGTGTGGGAGACAAGAAAAAATGCTTTAGATTAGTTGAGTCTAAACAATGTTTAAAAAACTAATTCACTCTGGCACCCTGCTGATAATGCATAGTTGCCTCTGAAAGCTGTAGGTCACTGCCAAGGCCACCATCCTCCAGAGGGCACGGAAGGTCTTGGCTAAGTGTGATCACCATGGCTCGACTGACACAGGGTCCACTTCACACTTCCAGATGGCCTGAGCAAGCTGTCTGTTTAGAGAAAACGTTACCAAAACTCCTTCATAAATGTGCTTTCAGGTGATTTTACCTCTCTCCTAACCACATAGATCCAGCTGTCAATGCTGTGCACAGACTTCCCAAGAAGCCCAAGAGCCTCAAAGAAGGAAACAGGATACCTGTTCAAAGTAACAGGTTGTACTCATTTGCTTTCTGCTGCTATGATAAGCATCATGATCAAAAGCAACTTGGGGAAGACAGGGTTTATTGGGTTTACAGGTCCCAATCACATGTCTGGGCAGGAAGTAAAGCGGGAACGTAAGCAAGGTTCTTGAAGGAACACTATTCACTGGCTTGCTTGACATCATTCAGGGTGTCGCTGTGGGCTGGGCCCACCCACATCAATCATAAACAGGAGACTATCCCACAGATTTGCATACATATAAGGATCACCAATCTCTCTCTACCAAAGCATGATCACCATGTCTACCAAGTCTCTAGACACCAGAGACTAAGTACTTAACAGTAAGTAAAGGGCAAGCTTATCTGTTTGTAAAATCATTTATTTGTAAAACAATTAAATCATTAAAAAACAATCATTAAAACTAGCAATGGAAGCTGGCACATGTCCTGGAGTTCAAAATGCTTAAAGCAATTCCCACAAGCTCCTGAAAAACTAAAATCCTGATAATTTGGAACAGCCCTCCTCTCTTTCTCCTCCTATACAATTTAGTGATTCTACAGGCATGATCTGGGGAACAAACAGCCCAGCACCATCTGAGACTAGTTAGAAACACAAACTGCCATACCTCTGCTCTAAACCTAGAGATTGGGAGTGGAAGCCACAGTCTATGAGTTAGCAAGGCCTAATGCTCTTATTTGGAAATCTCTGCTCTAGGCTCAGGGTGTGTTCCTAGAGAAGCTCGGGAGCCTCTTTAAATCCTTGTTAACTGGGTAGCTTGTAATCTCTCCTGTCCTTGCCTCTTAAATTGGTGTTTAATCTCACACTAATTTTACCAAAGAGGGCTTGAGTCCTTAGTTCAAGGTCACTATGAGAAGCCAAGTCAGAGCTCCATAGCAGGACTTGCAGATTTAGTCATCATCGTTGGATCACAAAGGAAAGCCTTGCTGACACAGACAATTCTGGGGCCCAGGACTGTGAATGGTGTTCACACAGGTCTCATGGTCTCCTCCATTATACCACACTGCCTCCCTCAGACAGAAAAGAGGGATTTCCAACCCATAAAAATCAAGAGAAGCTGTGCAGGTATGGGTAACTGGCTGCTTCTGCAGATCTCAGCACACAAACCTTGTCGTGAGGACTGCCTAGTGGGGGGAGACCACAACAGATGTGGAGAGCAATAGGGCCACCATCATCTCCTGTTTGTTACAAAGACAAAACAACAAAAACCCCGAACTTCGGAGTGGCCCATAGCTTGTCCACCAGGCCTGTCATCAGGGAAAACTTGAGTTCAGGTCTGTCTGTGTGATTCTAGAACCTGTGTAGTATAGCCACACCAAGGATCCGGACATCTGGAAATCTTCCCCAAGCGTACAATCCCCAAGGAAGAACCCAAAAATGGTGAGGTCCTAAAACCTCAGCACCTCCTCAGAGTGAATGCTCCCTTAAAAACTCAACACACAAAGCCACCAGTTAAGGTGCTCAGTCAAAAGAGAGGGAAGGAAAGGAAGAAGAGAAAATATAAAAGGAAAAGAACAGAAGAAAGAGGGAGATGCTTATTTCTAGCCTGCATAATCACGCTGGACTTCTTCCCATAGCAGCCTCCTAGGCAAGGCAAACAACCACTCAGACCCTGGGCTGAAACGCCTCCACACACTTCAACCGGGCTCCTCCACCTTCCCCGACACCCCACCCTTTTATGACAACTCTGCTCTGACTGGTGTGTAGGCAAAACCCTAAAACTCAAAACAAGAAGTGAAAAAAGTGGAGCCAGGAGAATCATGGACATCCGCGACATCCTTGCCATATGTACCCAGCTAGTTCCAGGGCCTCGGAGTCAACCAGAAGACCTTAGGAGACGATGTAAGGAAGCAGACAGTCCTCTACCCCTCCGGCTTTGTTCCTTCCCACAAAGTAAGGGGAGAGGCTTGTTATGAAGTCCAAGGCAAACAAGCTCCCATGCACTCCTCCTAAAGAACTGTGCGCCATTCAAACTCTCTAACTGACCTTTGGGTCCTGGGGTCTGTGATGATGGAAACCTCAGGAAAGTTGGGGGTGGGGAGGGGGAGCAAAACATGCATCTACTCTAACCAACCACGCTGACCCGCCATATGTGTGGGACAGATTCTGGAGCGCTCTGGGGAAAAAAAAAAAGAAAAAAAAAAACGGAGCCCAGAGGCCTTGACCTAGCCCCCGACCACCTCTTAGGGTAAGTCCGGAGGCAAATGGGGGCCGGAAGCCCGCCCAGCAAGAAGTACCCGCCTCAGTTTTGGCAGCAAAGATCTTCCTGGAGATAACAGGATTCATAGATTGGGGTGATTCGCTGATTTCAGCGGAGAGAGCCCTGGTTAGGGGTTCAGGGACCCACTGAGTTCTCCCTAAACCGAGCCTCCAGGCGGCACCCTTGGGGGCCTTTCTGCCAAGCCGGCAGCGCAGACCTGAGGGCTCCACCACCAACTTTCTCAAAGGAATCTGCCCTCTAGGCTGTGGTCAATCTTGCTCGCACTCCCGGTCCCGGGCTGGGGGAGAATCAGCGACCCAGACCCCTTTCCGCGCGCACCAAGCAGCGGCGCCAGGCGTATAGCCCCCTCTTCCCGCCGCCCCCCAACTTGCCCGCGCAGCTCTCAGCGCGCCTACCCTCGCCTCCTGCCCCGCGGCGCGCATCGCAG